ATGCATTTATTTTTCAGTAGGTAATGAATGACTCTAGTTTATTTGTTTCTCTGTCCTTCCTGCATAGAATAGAAGGCCACAAAGAGTTTGATAGAAGTGAACAATAAACTTGAGTTGCTTATCATGTGGGATGTGCTCGGGTTAGAGATCCCAAGATTAATAGAATATGGTCCTTGCCTTAAAGAGACTTTAAACTCTGGGAAGGGCACTGTTTAGTATAGTTATGTTAATGAAACAGCTGTGGTTTCATGGAAGATGGCAACAGTTGTCCAGCACAGAAAGAGACTTATGTTAATCTTGTCGAACAAGGACACAGTGAAGATGGTTTTAATCTTGGGGAAATAATTATGAATATAGTTATTTAGATAAAAAAAACTGCATGTGACAATTCTGTACCCTCTCCTCTACTCCAGAGGAATGAATTCATGAGAGATGAAGTTATTTTTTTTTTTTTTGAGGGGGTGAAGTTACTTTTTGTCAAAACAGCAGAGCCCTCTTTCTACAGCTTCATTCTGATGTGGGTCTCCTTACATCTTCCTGTGAGCTCCCTCTTTTATTTGTGCTCTTTTATGGTGATTTCAGTGTCTTCTAGGGTCCCAAGTATCTGGATAGACCCCAGCTTCATTCTGACAGCTCTTATCTGCAGGGTATTGCTGAAAGGGGTATCTCTTTTGTGACTGTGTGAATACACACGCAGTACTTTTACTAGCTTTAGTATTGCTTTTACCGTCATGATCACAGAACAGGATTTCAGCTTTGTAGTCACCTACTTGCTGAATTTAGATAGAATTTTAAGACTGCTTTGTGACAGCTGACAGCAAGTGAATTTTAAACCTGTCATGACCCTGGTAATCTGAAAGGTGAGGATGTGTCACTTGAAAGGAAAGAAAGAAAGGCAGGCAGGCAAAGGAACAGGGCTGTAAGCCTCCCTAGGCTAGCTGTCAGCAGAGTGAAGCTAAGAGCAGAGAACGTGTAATTGCCAGCTTTGCTCTTCTCTCATTAAACCTGTGATCACTCTTAGCAAATGCAGAAACACTGGCTGTGATATCTGTTTCTCTTTACTTTTTAAATAAAATTTTGGACAAGTGCAACATGCAGTTTGAGAGGAATACAGGCTGTCGCGGTAAGGAAAGCATGGCATGGGAAGCCTGAGGCATAGGGCCACATTGTGCCCGCAGTCAGGGAAGCAGTGAGGGGAAGCTGATGCTCAGCTGGCCTCCTCCTCCTCTATTCTGTCTAGGACCACATGGAATGGTGCCACCTATGTTTATAATTGGTCTTTCCTCACAGACATACCCAGGGATTTTTTTTCCCCTTAGCTAGTCCTAAATCTAATCAAGTTGACCATGACAGGACCATGTAAGTAAAGTATCACGTGTCCCTGTTGCACTCTCTGCTGCCAGTCATCTCTCCTGGCTTCCCTGCAGTCAGTGGGCTGTGCTTGGCAGCATCCAAGATTCCCTGCATCCCAGTGGTGCTTCTGTGGGACAGTGATTCTAAGCAGTACCCTCTACAGAAGACAAAATGATGCTGTGTAAAAATCAGATTACTACTATGACACACATATGTTAAAACTAGTACTCTCAAATAAGTCTGAGATGTACTGTGCTAGATGAAATAAGGCTCCCGTACCCCACTCCATTGATAGAGCTTCTTGGAGTAAATCCTTACCAGGAATTGTTAAGAGAAGGCCACAGTTGCTAGAAAGCTCTTGTACATAAATACCCTGGATATGACATGAGGATTAGTCTCTTTGCCTGCTTATAATAAATATTTTTTTCTTATTGAAAGATGTGTTTACAATATTAATGAATTGAGGGGAAAATGTTGTGTTAAATCTTATTTGTGAAATAATTGGTGTTCATCAGTTGTTGAATAAAATATAGCCATGGTAGAATTCTGAGTACAATAAATTATGTGCCTAGCATTACGTATTTCAAAGTAAGAAGTACCCTTTTCAACTAGATTTGGTAGAAGGTGGTATTTCTCCTGTTTAACTGAAAGATAAAAATATCCCCCCCATTAATAATACACAATCTGTATTGACATTTTATTTATATGTGCTTCATTTTATTATTTTATTTCCCCAGTTATCATATGCATTAAACTTTTAAAAATTATATTTACTGGGCTGGTGATATGGCTCAATGGGTTAAGGCACTTGCCAAGCCTGACAACCTAGGTTTGATCTCTGGGACCCACATGGTGGAAAGAGAAAACCAACTTCCTTAAACTCTTCTCTGATCTCCATATACGCTTTGTAGTACATATGCTTACATCTTCCTGTGAGCCCCCTCTTTATTTGTGCTCTTTTATGGTGATTTCAGTGTCTTCTAGGGTCCCAAGTATCTGGATAGACCCAGCTTCATTTTGACAGCTCTTATCTGCATGGTATTGCTGAAAGGGGTATCTCTTTTGTGACTGTGTGAATACACACGCAGTACTTTTACTAGCTTTAGTATTGCTTTTACCGTCATGATCACAGAACAGGATTTCAGCTTTGTAGTCATCTACTTGCACACACACACACACACACACACACACACACACACACACACAAATACATGTAGAAAAAAATTAAAATTTAGTTTACCGTTATAGGGAGCTCCTCATATTAATAACAACACTTTGTCATATTGTCTCTTCAGGAAACAGATGTGGTACCAGATACCATACTTTTGGACAAGTGTAGCCAGATTACCCCCTCAGCTCTTCACCCCACTGGATGGGACCATGCAGGAGTCCACCCCCAGAGATTTTGTAACATCGTGGATTTCTTCATTGCTCTGGCAATCTGCAACACAGTGGTGGTTTCCTGCTCCTCAACCAGCCTCGGCAAAAGGGGTAAACTCTAAGGCAAACAAGGGGTTTACTCAGCAACAGACAATGTGGAGTTTGCACGCATCTGTGGTGGTTTTGTTATATGATGACAGTAAAATACCAAGAGCAGCAAGAATATGGCAGGTGCAAACCATTTACTCAGGACTTGTTCTTGGCTCGGCACCGACCACACTCTAAGAGGTCTACTGGTTCTATTGTGTCCAGTCCTCTCACCAGAGCCCCAAGAGCGTAAGCACTCTAGCTCTGTTTTTCCTCGTCTTTAAGCTTTGGAAGGATCTCACCACGGTTGCCAAAACCAGTGTATGGGGGTGGGGGTTGAACCTAGGCAGTAGGACCCTGGGCTTTACTCTATAATTTGGTCTAGGAGAGGACTGCTGAGGAGAACTTCCACTTTGCCTTCACTATCTTTTACTAAATTGAAGCTGTCTGTGAGACTTTAGAGACAGGCAGCATCGAATGCACAACATCATACGAAGTCTGAAGCGTTAGTTTAATGGTCATGATTGTGACAAGCTTTCTTCCTGTTCCAGCTAGGTTTGTTTTAACTCAGTCTACTCATTATCCAGTATGAGTACGATGTGCCAGGAGCTAGAAGTATAGTTATAGCTTTAGAGCTCATGGAAAATTCATTTTCCAGTTAGGAAGGAAAACATTGCAGAGCCTGGTGATCTGTTGTGGTGTATTAGCCTCCTGGTGTATTTTGCCTTTCCTGCACATCCACTTAAAATTCAATTTACAACAAAACCCAAATTAAATTTTAATTTTCCAACTGATCATTTCCTTTTGGTAACTTCAGAGGGTGGGAACTTCAACATAAAAGTAATTCACTTACAATTAAGCTGTACCCGATCAGAGACTGGGAAGATGCTCTGACAAAAGCGATTGTGGTATTACAGAATAAATGGGGGGACTCATGAAAAGTTGTACGACACAGTCTTTTCAAAATTGACAACTTTTGGTGTTTCCTTTCTACAAACTATTGTTGATATAATGCTTTACTGCTTGGAATAAAATCTTTGGAGGCGTAAAGAGCTCCTGCGCCTCCCAGATGGTTAGGGTAATGGGAGAAAGGGAGCTTACCATGAGAAACAGAGACCTCCCCACTGCATGTCCTGCTTGACATCCGAGTTGCTGATGATGTACTAGCAGGAACCCTTCAGATGGTTATAAAATTAGTTTCTGAAGAAAACGTTGAAATTCTCCGTACTCTCCAAATGATTGTCATGAAATTACAAAACTAAATCGCTGATGTTAAAAGTGTAAAAGAAGACAGGATACCAATAAGAACAAATTGGGTACTGGTAAAGAATTAAAATCACGTGATGGTGTAGCTAATTCCCCTTTGACTTTCTTCATTCATTGGCCAGTTTTGGTGTAAATATCAAGATGACAACCTTTCCTAGACTCTGTAAAGAAAAAGAAAAATGTATTGTGTTGGTTTTTTTGATTGATTTTTTCCGCCCTCCTGTGGTCTTGGTGATGTGTGGTCTTTTTGTTGTTGTTGCTGCTGCTGTTCTGTTTTCTCTTACTGTTGTCTGAGCTCTTTCTGCAATACCCCAGAAAGCATTGAACTTTTCTAACAATGCATCCATGTGCTTAGTAAACTTCACTTTAAAATAAATTTCAAGAAGATTTTTTTGTTTTGGTATTGAGTATTAACTTGAATTTGTAGTTTAATGGTGATTGATTGTTTCACAGTAGATTCTGAGAGAAAGGGTTTCATGTAGCCCAACCTGGCTTTGAATTTGGGGTCCTCTTCCTGCCTCTGCCTTTCAAGTGCTGAGACTATACAAGCACTACCATGCCTGGTTCAACTTGCTTATAATTGCTATTGCTAAGCTGTGCCAATAAAGATTATAGATTTCATACATGTAGAATTTCTTCTTTAGAAAAAGTTCTATAAGGCCAATATTATTAGCATTTTGTATCCTTTGTTTTCAGTTGTTGATATCTTCCTGAATAGTTAGAGAAATGTACAATGCCATCACATGTGACATCACATGTCTTCCTGTTTGCCATGGAATTTCCAGGGAAAAAGCAGATTGACAGTTAAGACAGTGGTAACTCTTTCATCTCTCACTTTTTCCTCAGTTGGACTTTAGAGTTGTGATGGCATGTTATTAGACACGCTATTGAGACCTCTCCCATTGTCTTTCCTAGGTTGGGCTCTCCTCACTGAGTGGAATGCCCATCAAGTCCTTGGAAGAGATTAAAAACATCTTCCAGAAATTGTCAGTCCGGAGATCAAGTTCACCGTCTCTTGCCAGTGGGAAGGACCCGACTTCTGGGACTCCTTCTGCCTTTGTGAGCAGAATCTCTTTCTTTAGTCGAACAAAACTGTCACCTCCTATGGAGGATGAGCCTTCCCAGATGGGTGAAAGCCTCCAGGCCAGTAACTCAGCTTGCTGTACAGAAACTGAGGCACAAAACAGTGCCATTGGACTCACCATTGGTACAGCTGATGCCCTAAATGGACCACCTTCTTTGGCTTCCAACCTGTGCTATGAAGCTGAGAGTCCGGATGAAGCAGCCTTAGTGTACGCCGCCAGGGCTTACCACTGCACTCTACAGTCTCGGACCCCAGAGCAGGTCATGGTGGACTTTGCTGCTTTGGGCTCATTAACATTTCAACTCTTACACATCCTTCCCTTTGACTCAGTAAGAAAAAGAATGTCTGTTGTGGTCCGGCATCCTCTTTCCAAACAAGTCGTGGTGTATACAAAGGGTGCTGATTCTGTGATCATGGAGCTGCTGTCGGTGGCTTCCTCAGGTAGGTTTGCACAGTTGCCATGGTGGTGACTGGAAGGGCTGGGCATTCAGCCGCCACTCCCAAGGGTTCTGTTAGAGGCTATGAAGTCACACTGGAAAAGGGGAAATGCTGCCTAGGGCTGGATGGGAAGGCGGGAGGGGGTTCTGAAGCTGTGGGGACCATGGTTTCTTTACATCTGAAATCAATCATTAGCTGTGCCACCGTGACATTACCAGTTTGGGAAAGGGGGCATCATACTACCTTTTATGGGCTCCTGAGAGGCTTCATGTCACTCAGTGTGAAATGCAGAAAGAGCCTATTGCCCAGCAAAGGTGGGGTGCCCGGGACAGGATAGATAGCATTCACCAATCATGAGCAGTCATATCAAACCTTTACCTCTTCCTCTGCCCTGGGGAAGAGAATCAAAGTGAAGAATTATGCTGCTGTCTTCCTTCCCTAGGCACACAGTTGAGAACCAAAGCTTAAAAAAAAAAAAATACCTTTTGTTTATTATAGATTAAACTGTCATTCTTCAAAGGAAAAAAAAGTCTAATTGGGCAGCCTGGCAGGAATAATGATTTTTCTGTTCATGATTTCAGATGGAACAAATCTGGAAAAACATCAGATGATAATACGAGAGAAAACGCAGAGCCACCTGGATGAATATGCCAAACGAGGGCTGCGCACTTTATGTATAGCTAAGAAGGTGAGAAGGCTGAGTGTAGCACACACAATCTTGCTATATCTGTTTACCCATCATCTGATACACTGTGTGTGTATCAGATCTCTATCCCAATCCAGGTACCAGGGAGGTTCCCCAGACTGGGGTCCTTTGATACAGCCTCTCCATCCTGTACATGACTGGGTTAGATTTCTGTCCCCAAAGAGGAGTGATTTGGGGATGGTTATTGCCAAAACCTCTCACTGACTACCCACGTTCTAGTTCTTAGCTACTGTGGGAGACAAAGTGGGACTAGCTCTTGGGGACCTCCAAGGAACCCATTTCAACCAGGGACATGAGGGATCAAATGCCTCTGTGATGCAATTGTAGGAGGAGCAGGGGATTAAAGATTGCCTTCTCACTTGAATGTATTCCATTAGATGCTATATTTTCCCAAATGAAATTTCCTGGCAGGCCAAAATGAGTGTATAAGACAAAAATTGCTAACCCCCTCCACTCAACCCTGCTTTTAAGACTGGAAATTCAGATTCATCCATTATGACAACTAAAGGCAGGGGGACATTGGTTTCTTCTTCAGGAGTTGCATTTATGTTTTTTTAGAACCAAGTCCTTCTTGCGTTTCCTATAGGGTGCCTCTCATTTTACCTTTTCTGAAGCTTAACCATGTGATTGAATTTTCAAAGACCTCTGAAGTATTGTTGGCTGTGGCATCACTCCAATGAACAATCTTGAGGACATTTTCTTAGCTGCACCATTAGAATGCTCCCAGAGTTAACCATCAACAGGAGGCCTGTTCCACCTCCTTGTGTCCTGTTTTTAAATATTTGAAACCCCCTTCAAATTTCCCAGGATGCCTCAGCAGTGCTGTCTCTCTACCAGCTGGTTCGCATTTCCTGATCAGAGTTTGGGAATCTTGTGTCCCTGTGTGAAGGAGTATGGGTCAGATACAAGTGTGCCCACAGGATGAAATTCAGATGTGTAGTTGTTGGCATGGAACTCCGTCCCCGGTCAGTCCTGGCAGCATATTGCAAGGTTTAATGCCCTGCCTCCTAGTCTCTTTTCTTCCCTCTCTTAGGTCATGAGCGACACTGAATATACAGAGTGGTTGAGGAATCACTTTTTAGCTGAGACAAGCATTGACAACAGGGAAGAATTGCTGGTTGAATCTGCCATGAGACTAGAGAACAAACTCACATTACTTGGTAGGTAAATGGCGCTGTATTGCGTGAGCAGAGAATTTTGTCTCTAAACCATTCTACTGTAGTCCCCTTTAGCCACTCTGATCTAGTATGCATATGTGGCTCTCCCAACCACGTGCATCCTGATCTCTCCTTGTGTTCCAGTGCCTTCAGACTTGTGTTCCACTTGAGTGAACTGGAGGGTTCACTTGTGGCAGGAACAGGGTGGACATTCTTGCTAGGGATGTAAAACCTAAATACCCAACAAGAGTATACACACAGACAAATACCCTGGTCTGAGAGAAGGGTTTTGCAGGTGTCTTGCAAGGAATTAGGTGAAGTCTTAAAAATATGTTGTCTTCTTAAATCTTTATAATAAACAGGCATCTTATTTAGAAGAAACGGGCACAATGTAGTACAGTGACGTGTTCACGCTCAAAGGCTTAGACATGAACTGAAAAGCAACAAACTCAAGTATTCCCAAGTATAGGGTCCCTGTCCTTTATTCTGTATTGCAAGTGATCTTGAAGTCTATTTTTCTTCTCCTCTTGCCCGATTCCAACACAAATGCACAATGGATACCTCTTGTGTCAGGTTGACCCACACCTGGGAATCACTTACAGAACAATAAACAGTCCAAGGGCTGTTGGTCTTGTGTGTGACCTAGACACTGGAGTGGCTGAAAGTCTCCTGGAGTGACTTCTGAGGGGCCATCAAGTTCAAAAACACTGCTTGGAGCATGGAGATGTAGATTCTTACAGAAGAACTAATACACCAGAGAGCCGTCTCTGAGCTCTGTTCTGCTCGTTATTTAGGTGGAAACATGATCTCAATGTCTGTCAAGTAGAATAGTCATGTCCCTTTTAAATACTAATAATTTCTTTGTGGTGGTGTAAGTAGCTTAGATGCGTACTTCCTAATCTGCATTTCCAAATGAATTTAAGGCTCTGTAGGTTTAATGCCAAAATTCACTTGGCAGCAAAATCAAACCTGATTTGATGTAACACTATTTTTTACATCAAATTTAATTAGCATGAAAATCTTGGAGGTTTTCTATAGAAATATGGGTGGTTAACAGGTATTGCAAAATAGAAAATTTATACCACATCACTGGTGGGGAAAACAGGAATTCCAAAACTGACTGCATCCCATTCCAGAATAGGACATTGTGGACTGACATTATGGAAAAGCATTCCTAACAGACATTGTATCTTAGAGCCAAGGGTATTCTCTAAATGCCTTCCTTACCCTAGGAAGTTTCACTGAACTATAGAATTTATGGCAAGTCTATGTAAATAAGAGAATCAGCTTTTGAGTTTGTAGAGATGAATACTAGCCAAAAGGAGAATGTGTTTGATAAATTACACAATCCTTGGTGTTTTACAACTGCTCTTTGGCTTTCTTTGCATCTCTGGATGCTGCTGGGGCAGTTTATACAGTTCAGGACTGAATGGCCCATGGATAGGAGTCAATGGAGTCCCAGCTGCCTCTGGTTTCTAAGCAACCTGCTTTGCTGTTTGATTACTTTCCAGGTGCTACTGGCATTGAAGACCGTCTTCAGGAGGGAGTCCCCGAGTCTATAGAAGCCCTTCACAAAGCTGGCATGAAGATCTGGATGCTGACAGGGGACAAGCAGGAGACAGCTGTCAACATAGCTTATGCATGCAAACTCCTGGAGCCAGATGACAAGCTCTTCATCCTCAATACACAGAGCAAAGTATGCATGGTGATGTTGAGCCAAATACTCTCTTAACTGAAAGCTGGTAGGGCAGTAGGCCATTGGTGTATTCAAGAACAAGGAAAAGCTGATCTGACCATCTGTAGCTCTTGATGTTATGCTGCTGAATGACCTTGCTCATATTTGGGAGTATGCCATAGTTTTTCTAAAAGCCATATTCAGAAGCATCATGGGTGAATACAAGCATTATAAAAAAAAAAAAAAAAAAAAAAAAAACTTCCCTTTTTATTTTGGGCACCCTCTCCCCCACATTCTCACTGTTAGACCAAGAGATTTCACAAGACAGACAAAAATGAGAATGTATATGAACTCTTGAGACATAAACCCACCTCCTTTTCGAGTTGGAGGGACGTTGTAATTTCTGTTAGTGACTAGATATTTTTATAAATTTTAAAAGTAGGCTCTCAGCATAATCCTGCCCTCTAGTGGTAGATGTAGATAGTGCTCCTAAGAGCCCCTATCATTGGTAGAAATGAAAGGGATGGAGTGTTAAAGCAGGAACTGAAAAGATTTTGAATCACCCATGTTTTTTATTTATTTGTTTGCTTATTTACTTGTAATTTATGCTACCATTAATGACTAGGATGGGTATTTGAGTAAGTTAGATGGATATTTCACAGAAGGCTCGTAGGAGAGAGAAACACACCAACATGTGCTCATACTGTTTACTTTGCTTGAAAGCTCTGCCTGCCTCCTCTCTTCCATATCAAAGTCAGGATTCTGTCACAGCATCCAGACTTTGTGATGCCCTCTCTAGCCATCTCGCGGAATCAGGGTCTTCATAGGCTGTCTCTTCTGACTAGCTGTTTCATGGCTAAGCCTCCACTGATACTCTGTGCTATTTTTGAGGAAAGAGAGCTGTCTTTTACAACACAGACTGAGTTCTCTTTATAGCAGATCTGGGGGCCATGTTCATAACCAAAAGCCAACACCCAGTACCACCAAGGGGCAGGATCATTTCAGTGACTCAGAATGGATATGGCATGAGTGGCTAGTGAAATATTTACTTACTGCTGACCAAGCATAGGTCCTCAGGGAGTTACTTGCCCTGTGTGGCCTCTTCTTCCTCACCTGTCACAGACTGTAACACCCATGCACTGATGTGACTATGGGCAAAGATAAGGAAATATCTCCTGTCAGCATCAGGAGATATTTGTGAAGGGCTTCTGCAGACTTGGGGATGTCCTCCTGCGGATGGTCTCTAATGCTAGCATCACCTAAAAAATGCTAAATGTCTACTGAGAGATTTGGAAGCATGAAATAAAAAAGAAAATTAAATAGTGCTGATGAAATGCTGCTGCTAAGCCTGGGACCTGAGATTGACCCCCCCACCACAACCAACCTAGTGGAAAGAGAAAATCGATGTTGACCCCTAAAAGTTGCCATCTGACCACCAGACATACACCACGGCATGGAAACCCCCCGCCAGCACACACCAAATCCATAAACAAGGAAATGAAAAATAAAGTTAATTATTTGCAGTTTTGACTCAGAGGCTTTTAGGCACGAAGAACTTTTGTCTCAAGATTATAATACATGTTTGAATAGAACATTCAAATAATGTGGAAGCCTTTTAGAAAAGATAGGATATTAAAACCATCCCTCAGAGAAAGCCTATTGACAGGTCAAACATCTTTCCAGATATCACCAAGTCTACATACATGGGAAACCAAGCATAGCGATGCATGCCTCGTGGGCCTGGGACTCTCTGCATTTGTTAGGAGAGTGCTTCCTGTTTGAGAATAGATGTAGTGATCTGTGTCATCATGACAAGAAGGGCATAGCATCTTTCAGGTCAGGTGTGTCAGTCACTCTTTGAAATCAAAGGGGCTTTAGTCCATGTACAGATTCTATAATGTCTAAATCAAATTAAGCATAGTTGTCTCCTCGATCATTTCTAATTTCTTCATGATAAAAACATGTAAAACCCTTCCTTCTAGTTTAAAAAAAAAAAAACATGTTATATATATTTTTTTTATCTATTGACTAAGATAATTTATTGATTGGTAAAAATCAGCAGGATTATAAAGTTTATTTATAAATATACAATTTATATCAGAAGACACTTAAAACTACCAGTCCAATAAGTATTTAGTACATATTTAGTTAATTTTAGTTGCTACTAATAATGATTCATATATGAAAATTTTCTATATAGATCAAAAGAAAACAGTGGACATAATTTAATTTAATATCGGTTTAGACACTAGTCTGTAAATATGTTCCTTTTCCAATGTCCATACCGTAGGAGTCCCTAAAAACTAAAAGGGGATATCTGAAGTCATGTCTGTGTGGTAACTTCATATATATCTGTGAAATTCACTCCCAAAAAAACTAAGGCAAAACTGTATCCACTTAAAAGTCTTTATCTTAGGAAGGTTTTTTTTCTTTTGTGTTCACATTATCCTGTCCAGACATGTTTATCATACTCACAAACACAGGATTGCCCCTTCAGTTTACACTAGAGGCATATAAAACACCCCTCCTAATAACAATCTAATATTTATAATCTTTATTAGAAGCTCAAGAAACTATCCATGCATGATCTCATTTGACGATTGTAACAAGTACACACTGACTCATTTTATAGGCAGAGACACCAGAATATTTTGATTTATCATGGGTGAAATCGTAATTAAATTCGAATTTGGTCTCTTTTATGTCAAGACACTTCTATATTTTATAGTGATTTAAACGCTTCCTACAATTGGTAGAGTTATGTTTTATAGCATTATCTTGACCCTGAATTAGTGAATAGTGAGTGCTGTCCCGAGGGAGATTCACAGTTTACTTCCTGTGATCACATAGAATACATTGTCAGTTGATTAACACCTAACATTGCTTCTTGCGTGTTTCTCTCTCATGATAACTTATTTAATATTTATTGTAGATTCATTCTCATTATATGTGTAGGCAAATGTCACTCCAATTCATGCCTGAAAAGAGAGTACTTAACATACAGTTTCTCAGCACTGTATGTCATAGCTGTTGAGTGTTTGGGGACACTAACAACACTGTAATTAGGAGCCATTTCAGGAAACAGAAACCCAGCCAAAAGGAGAAAGATGAAAAAAAGAAGTGTCACCAAACAGTCTCAGCACTGGGGACGTTGAAGCAGGCAGATCTCTGAGTTTGAGGCCAGTCTTGTCTCCAAAATTAGTTCTAGGACAATCAGGGCTACATAGAGGAATGCTGTTTCAAAAAACCAAGTAAATAATGGTAATAATCAGAATAGTGTATCCATTTTCTCAGCTTTGCCTGAGAGGGCATGCATCACATGACCTAAATGTCACTCTTTTCCTGGCAGTATATGACTTCAAAAGCCTGAGATTATGGGTTGGAAACAAATGATAGCAAGTTTTCTGAACTCACAAAATTGGAATCTATGAATAGTATGTGGTATATGTATGTTTGTGTGTGTGTGTGTGTGTGTGTATGCATAAGTGTACATGTGTGTGTATGTGTGTATATGTGTATACATGTATGTATACATACTGCTAAAAAAACTAAACACTCATGGATTAAATACCTATGTGTAATAATCATAAAGTGACAGGTGATTCACAATTACATTATGAAGAATATCTATCTAGACTGTAAACTCTACCATATAATATTAATGTTACAAAGACTGTTTTATGTTACTATAGTTTTACTATGTTCCACTAAAACAACACCTCACATGGAATATTCTGATTTTCAAAGATTACCAAGTATGCTGATTTCTAAATTATGCCACATTAATTTCACCAAACTAAACAACATTTGTACAAACAGTCTTTAATGTTGTAATTTGGTCTATAATAAGCATGTGTGATGTTTCTTTCATGGCTTTAGAAGTATATGGGTTCAAATTAGTTCAAAGGTTAAGGTAGTTGGGTAGCTCCATTTTTGTAACTGGATCTAGACTATCTGTTTTGCAGCACTGTAACTAAATCTGTGAGGCTGAGTACTATATAGAAGGTAAGAGGTTTATTTAGCCCACAATTTGAAAACTCACAAACATGGTGCTAGATATGTGCACAGATGGTGAGGAGGAGAAAAACTCACATGGGAGGAAAGAAAGCAAGTGAGTAAGGAGAGACCAGGCCAACTCCTTTCCCCATCTGTTTATGGAGGAACTAGTCTGTTCCTAGTAGGCTAATCCATTGTGTAAGACCAGTGCGAATTTTTTCACATGGGTGAGCATGACCCCATGCCCATCTCCAGAGCACCACTACAATGGTGATTATTATACATAATATGGTTGTTGAGTCTTCTTTGCATCATGCCTCTGTAGATTCCTACATTTTCTTTGTTCCTTACATTTTATTGTGGGTTAAGAAATGCTTGATATGATGGGGAAACCCACAGAATCAGCTGAGCCAAGCTAGTGAAAGATCACTGACTCCAGTCTTACAAATGGGGACCTGCATGAGACTGAACTAGACTCATTTAATACAGGTGACTGGGACAATATATGAGACACTGGCAATGGGTTCAAGACCTAACATTAACACACAAAAAACATGACTTAGTGGAGCCCATTCTATATGGAGAGATACCTTGCTCAGTCTAGACATAGGGTGTTGGGGTCGGGAGGAGCCTTGGTCCTGCCTCAAGGAGATGATGGGACAGACTTAGTAGACTTCCATAGAGTAGATGGAAAGCGGGGGAGAGTTGAGTGGAAGGAGAGGAGGGAGGGGGAACTGGGATTGGTATATAAAAAATAAAGTAATTTTAAAAATTCCTTAAAACAAAAAGGGAAGAAATGCTTGGTAAAGCAGCACTTAAAAAGTTAAAAAATATCACTCATGGGATGTTCTTGAGTCGGCAAACTTTCAAGCTGGGCGTGTAGGCTTAAATCTCCTGTTGCTACACCTGAGATCTAGACTTGGTGGTCATTCTATACAATACTTTCTCTGTAAGTTTATTATTAGTCATCCTGAGTAGAACCCACTCAGCAAATATTTAATGAGTACTTGATAGACCTGAAGTGTGAGTGTGTGTGTGTGTGTGTATGTGTGTGTGTGTGTGTGTGTGTGTGTTTGAGAGAGAGAGAGAGAGAGAGAGAGAGAGAGAGAGAGAGAGTTTCTGCATGTGTTAGTGTGTGTTAGTGCAGGTGCACCCAGAATCCAGAATAACATGTTGGATGCCTTTGAACTTGATTGAGTTAAAGATGTTTGTGAGTCTCTAGTGAGTGCTGGGAACTGAATTCTGATCCTCTACAGGAGCAGAAAAAATGCTCTCAGCCACTGAGCCGCCTCTATAGTCTTTCCACTATAAAGGATTCAAAAGTGAGTTGGGGGATTGAGGGCATGGCTCAGACACAGAGCAAATGCTCCGCATGTGTAAGATCCAAGGTTCAGCCTCTGGAACAGCAACAACAAAACCCAAAGAGAGTAGAAGGGATGGCTACCTTCAAAACATTTCCTGTGTCATGTGCAGTGTAGATGTGATGTGATGTCACCACTAAAAACTTCCTGCTGCCCAGAATGCAAGCTCCATGAGGCTATGTCCCCTGAGTCCACAACATTCTCTCAGAGTTCCTCAGCAAATGCTTTTGAGTAGATAATGTGTTAAACAAAAAAAAAGAAGATGGAAATGTTGAAACATCTGCATTTAGGTTGGTCCTCACAGCAGTGTGGATGGAGGTAGCATGCACCTTCTGCAGATGAGGAAGTTGAGGTTCAGAGAGCTGAAGTGTTCCCTAGCCAAACAGCTAGGAGTTGGTGAATGAGACCTTGGGGCTCAAGAGACCCACTTCCGGGGAAGAGTTGATGCTTACCTGGTGAATTTTTAAAAATTATTTATATTATTGTCATTATGATTATGTTTTACATCCCTATCACTTTTCCCTCCATCTTCTCCTCCTAGGTCCTCCCCTACCTCCTTTTTGTACCCCCCAATCCACTCCTCCCTCGTTTCTCTTCAGAAAAGGGTGGCTTCCCATGGCTATCTATCAACCAAATATGGCATATCAAGCTGCAATGAGACTAGGCACTGTAGTTGACTTTCCCATCAGACTTTCTTTTGGGCCACCAGTCCCTAAAAAACAACATAGAAAATTATTATTAATTATGAAAGCTTGACCTTTAGCATAGGCTTGTTCTCAGCTAGCTCTTGTAACTTAAATTAACCTGTTTCTATTAATCTATGTTCTACCACACGGCTTTTTTACCTCTCTTCCATTTTGTTCCTCTGACTTGCTCCAAGTCTCACTGGCATCTGCCTAGATTCATCCTGAGATCCTCTCTCTGCCTTGAAGTCCTGCCTAACCTCCCCAGCCTAGTTATTGGCCATTCAGCTCCTTACTAAACCAGTCAGGTGCCCTAGGCAGGCAAGGTTAAAACAATTTGCTCAAATATCCCACAACAAGGCACCTCCCCCTTGTAGTAAGGTTGGACAAGGGAACCCAATATGAGGAGTAGGGGTGCCAAAAGCCAGCAGAAGAGTCAGGGACAGTCCCTGCCCCCTTGTTAGGAGTCCCACAAGAAGACCAAGCTACACAACTGTAACATATATGCAGGGTGGAACACTGGGAATCCCCAAGAAGAGAGGGAGGAAGGATTGTAGGAGCCAGAGGAATCAAGGTCACCACGAGAAAACCCACAGGATCAACTAACCTGGGCTCGTGGGAACCCACAGAGACTTAACCACCAACCAGGGAGCCTGCATGGGACTAATGCGATAGAATTTTACATTTTAGCTGTGGACTTGTGTTTGAGGTGCTTCTTCCTTCTTACCAGGCCTCACATCCACAGAAGCTCATGGGAGAGCTGCAAAACTGAAAAGTTATAAAGTGGGCTCCTTGAAAGTAATCCACAGTTCACTACCCTAGGCAGCCTTGATCCAGCAATCACTAAAGAAAGAGAAGGAAGAAATTGGAGCCAACTCCTCAGTGGTGCCCCAAGGTTAAATGTCTCTATGTCTTTGTTCAAGGATGCCTGTGAGATGCTGATGAGCTCGATTTTGAAAGAACTGCAGAAGAGAACTCAAGCCTCTCCCAAGCCAGCATCACTAAGAAAGGCCTCCTGTCAGCCTCCTGACCCCCAGGGCTCTGAACGTGCTGGGCTCGTCATCACAGGAAAGACCCTGGAGTTTGCCCTGCAGGAGAGTCTGCAAAGGCAGTTCCTGGAGCTGACTGCATGGTGCCAAGCTGTGGTCTGCTGCCGAGCCACACCCCTTCAAAAAAGTGAGGTGGTGAAATTGGTTGAAACCATCTCCACGTGATGACCCTGGCCATTGGTGAGCGGAGGTGGGGAGGTGGGCACCCTGCCCTGCATGCTCTGTTCTATGACCTTTGCCTGTCCTTCCTTTGGTCTAACTTTACAATTCTGTATTTGCTTTCCCAGTTGTACTTACTTTGCTCCCCTCCGACTTCTGTCTGTACTGTTTCCCAGCCTCTCTCACGGCCTGCTGTGAACCTGGTGTTAGAGATGGAACACAGAGAACAGGATGATAATACTTTTGGGGTTGTGTTTTAGACCCCAAATCAACTTGATTACCTGGAGTTAAATACTGAATTGGAGAACTAAATAAAACCTCCAGGATTTCTACCTTTAGGAAAGTTAAATTTAGGAATACTAAAAAAAAGTACCCATTTAGTGACTGCCCCATCCTAGACAATAGCTATAAAACAGTATCTATAACTGATACCTTTCTTAGAGAGTTTACATCTAGTAGGAGGGTACAGAGTAGCACAAGTGAATGAACAACTAAATGTGAATGTGGGAAATATCACTTAACAAATGCTACTGAAAAAGAAATAGGGATAAGATTTGCTGTTTTCAGTTTGGTTCCCAGAGTACAACCGTCTGCTTTGTCTGTCTGTGAGTAAAGACATAAAGGAAATGGCAGAGGGGACACTGGAGATGAGGGATAAACATACCTAGCAGACTGCACAGCAGAGGAAAAGCCAAAGGATGGAATGTACCGCTCATGGCCAAAGCAGACTGGGGGGTGTTTTCTACAGCTGAATGAGTGGCAGAGAGAGGTGGGTGTGGCCAGGTCATGTTGGGTCTTGAATTTTGGCTTTGATCTGGAAATGGGAGTGAGGGGAGCAATCTGTCTTATATTTAAAAGGATCACATCATTTTCTATGTGAGAATAGACATGCTACAAGGACATAAATGAGGAAAACAGTAAAATATTTCAGACAAGAGATGGTGGTGGCTTGGGCCCAGATAGGAGCAAAGGAGGAGGGGAGTGGGACAAGGTCAGACACTAGAGTAGCTTTGAAGATAGAGCTGCTGATGTTTGCTGATGAATTGGATGTATGCCGTGGCAGAAAGAGTTGTCGAAGTGACTGCCAGTGTCTTGGGTGGGGGTATGACATTTGGTGATGTGGAGGCAGGGGCTTGAGATGTGGGATCTTAAACTTACTTAGCTTGAAAAGTCTTTCAGATGCCTTGGCAGTGTTGTCAAGTATCCAGCTGGAATAGAAATCTGTAACTAACAAAGGAAGAATTGGTCGAACATAAAAGTTAGCGAATTGTAGGTCCAGTGAGTGCTAAAGTTTTGGCATTCTAAGACCATCAAACAATGAGTTTCAATGGAGAGAATAACATGCCAGGAAGTTCCACTATATATGTGTGTTTAGATGGTATGGGATGGAATTTGGTCCAATCATTCTGTTTGTACATGGAGATGAGTGAATGGTTGAGATCCCTAGATTAAGATGTACCTAGAGCCAAACCCTTGAACTTTATTAATTGAATCAGGGGTCCATCTTTACCAATCAGTGATGGCAGGGAAGACAAGATGTTGATGTCCAGGCCTCATGCAGTTTCCCGTCCATAAATTTACCCTAACAAACCACATGGGCTCAGAGTCAGCAGCCCTTTCTGGACAACACATGTTCATTACCTGAAGGAGCATAACATCTGGAAGAGACTTCTAGTGTTGCAGTAGGACCAGTGACTGAACACCACTGTAAAACCATGTGGAAGAGAGGATGAGGCACCCTGGGAGCCTAGTGGGGCACCTGGCTTAAAGGGAACATGAGAAGGGTTTTCTAGAGAAAACGACAGGTAAACAAAGCCTGGGTAAATCAGCAAGGTGGGAGTGATGGGGACAATGTTACAGAAGCAGAGAATTGATCTGTGTAGCTTCCAGAAAGAACAGGATGTATCTAGAAAATTCAAAGTAGAATGATGACACAAAAATCTAAGGGATGGACCAGTCTAGGGGATGGACCAGTCTATGATGGTCTCACGGTGTCCTGGATAGTTTATTGTCAAGTTAGCATATATTAGAGTTATTTGGGAAGAAGATTCTTGATTAGGAAAATGTGTCCCTAAGGTTTGTCTGGAAGCAAGTCCTACAGATAATTTTCCTAACTTGTGATTGATTTGGGAGGGTCCAGCCACTCTTGGGAAATAAGTCCTAGGGTGTATAAGAAAGCAGGCCAAGCAAGCTAGGAAGAGGAAGCCAGTGAGCCACACTCCTCCATGGCTTCTGCATCAGCTCCTGATTCCAGGTTCCTGCCTTGAGTTTCAGCTCTGACTTCCCTCAGTTATGAATTATGATCTGTGAGGTGATAGAAGCTCTTCCCTCCTCCAGTTGCTCTTTTGACCATGGCATTTTATCACTGCATAAAATCCTATGATAGGCAACATGAAGGATTTGAAGGCAGCATTGAGTTTGGAATTTTTTCTGACAGCAGTGAGATGCTACATTGAATTCTGCTTAACCAGTTTCCAAGTAACTCTGGAAGGTGGGATAGACCTCAGAGGACCAGTGTGTTCTCTTGAATAGTCACTTGATTACAGTTCGCTCCTCACATGTGTCTTGTGTTTTCTTTGCCTCGTGCAGGTGATGGCGCTAATGATGTTAGCATGATACAAGTGGCCGACATTGGGATAGGTGTCTCAGGTCAAGAAGGCATGCAGGTGAGTGCATGCAGACCTAACTACCATGACCATCTTGCCTACTAAAGGAAATATCTGACTGATAAAACCATTGTGGGGTTAAAAGTGAGAGAGGCTGGACTTTCATCCATTCTACCGCTGGCCATTTGTGAATACTGTGTGGTCCTGGCTATTTCTACTGTGTTCGTATGTTCTGGTTTTTAAAAGCTTACGTACATAATAAAATTTCAATTTGTAGGCATGTGATAGCTGTAAGGTGTACAGGTTTTTCCGCCTGCCGCCGCTGGTCTTGTCCCGCCGCCACACCACCAGCCCCAAATACTACACAGAGACTCTGTATTTGATACAATACTGTTGGCCTGGTTACTTGTTTCTTATTGGCTAGCTCTGTCTTAATTATTAACCCATTTCTGCTGATCTATGTATTTCTCTTACCGGGGAGCCGGCGGCATACTGCTTTCTCCATACTCTCCATCTTGGCTCCTCCTTCCTACTTCCTATTTCCTCCTTGTCTCCTAGTCCCTCCTATCTTCCTTTCCTATTGGCCAACAGTGCTTTATTTATTAACCAGTATGAGAAACATATACAGAATGACATCTCCCATCAGATAGCTTTGTCAAATTTCACCATCTCCTATGATGAATACATGACATGAAGAATATAGAGGATGGGGAAGGAAGAGAAAGGAAAGGAGACATGAAAGAATGAGAATGAGGAAGGTGTGACTATGTGTGTTTGTATGTGTATGTGTATGTGTGTTTACATGTGTGTGTGTATGTGTGTGTATGTATGTGTATATGTGTGTGTGTGTGTGTGTGTGCATGTGTATATGTATAGTCTCTCTGGAGTGACTTGGGAGGTAAGTTAACTGACTTGGATTAACTGATGGTCGTGCTATACCTGCTAGACTGTGTGTGTTCTAGCATGTTCCATTGCTCAGGATAATTTTCTCTCCCTGTTTCCTTTGCAGGCCGTGATGGCCAGTGACTTTGCTATCTCTCAGTTTAGACATCTCAGCAAGCTCCTTCTTGTGCATGGGCACTGGTGTTACACACGACTCTCCAACATGATTCTCTATTTTTTCTACAAGAATGTGGTATGTACCTACTGAGACATTTGCCACTGCCTCTCAAATCCAGCCTCTACTCTTGTTGCCTCAGGGATGACTGGATGTGTTCAAATTACTACCTGGAGAACAGCCAGAACCTGTTCTCATGTCTTTCCAGAAATAATCTGGGAATGTGTGTGTTTGAACTGTTGACAACAAATTGCTAGGCCTGTCCATCTGCTGCCACACTCTGCTCCCTGAGCATTGACATTGCATTAAGTCCTGACTGGCTCATTTAAAATCCAGTTTTGACCTTCTATAAACAGATAGTGACAAGTTGTCAGTAGAAAATGAGAAGGCTTGCTCCTGTGGTATTGGGAATGGCAAATAAGTTAATAAACGAGTAAATAAATAAACCTGCTGCTCCCAAATAATGGCTCTTATACTCCATCAAGGACAGAGATGAAAACCCAACTGCAAGGATTTTTTTTACCCACCTCACTAAAAGTGTCTTTATGCTTAGTAGATATTTTTGTGGTCATGGAACTTTAGTGTGATTATTGCTTGGAATAATCAGAAATTGCTTGAAAATCCTGGTGTCTAATCTTGTTTCATTTAAATTACACATACCTCCCTCTCTCTCTCCTTCCCTCCCTTCCTCTTCCTTTCCTTCCTTCCTACTTTTTTTTTTTTATTCTATAATTTTTTTTTTTTCAGGTGGTGTCTTGCTATAAAGCCCTGGATGGCCTGATTTTCACCTCAAATTTGTAATAATCCCCCTACTTCAGCATCCTGAGTACTAGGGTTGTAGACAGACAGCGAAATGCTGGACTTCAGTTTTCTTTCTTACATACTCATGCTGACTTAGGCTGACTCATTTTTCTAGGTGGACTGTGCAGCTACATTGTGGTCTTTAGGCTGGACTTCTTGGCCTTTAAAAGCATTAAAGAACTGACAAGAAAAAAAAAAAAGCATAGCATGTTAGCAAAGGACATACATTGGCTCACACTATTCAAATAGCATTTTTAGGGAAAATGCATTTATCCTCTTTAGGATATGGCTCAATGTGTAATTTAGGTCTGTGTTTATGAGTCATGGTGGGTCTTCTCTTTGCAGTACAATGAACTTCTAGAAAGCTCTTGATTCTTTTCTAAATCAAAGTAGCACATTTATTTAAAATGCCTTATAAAAATATTTAAAATATCTAGTCTTTAACTGGAGAAATCTGTGACTTCTCATGGGAAAGTTCAAGACGTTGTAGCCTTTAGAAAGGACATTTAGAAAGACTATTAGATAGAACTCTCCCAAGTATTCCCCCTGCCAGTATCTTTGCATTTTCTATCTTTATTATTATTGTGGTAAGCCATCCTTCCCTCCTGTTTTTAGCCCTTATTAAACCCAACCTTTGAGAAACACAAATATTAGGAAGAGACACCATAGTCTTAGAGATGGAGGGCACTTTAGTTAGAAGGCAGGACATACCAGGGGATGCACTACTTTTTGCTGTCTGTCTACAGATGGTCACTTACACTCTAGATTTAATGTATACCCTCCATTCACCAACCCAAACAGTAATTACATTGTAAATTATAAGTCACCCGGATCTTTGTGAGGACCAGAAGTCTTTAAAGTGGCTTAATTCCTGAGACTGTTTCTTTGATGTTGGATGACTTCTTAATGAATACGATGGGCTCACACTCAAGAGTAATGCCCCCAAACTACATGTATCCAAACTGGATAGATTTGTAGGAAATGACCATAATGCCTCTCTCTGAAAACTAGTTAGGAAGATTTTCTTCCTAAGTTGTATGGCCATGTGCTAAGGTGTTGTGGTGCTTCTATGGTGCTAGTGACAGCAGTGTCTTGCTCTTTGGTGGTCTGGGGTTGTAGTTCAGAAGACTGTTTGGATAGCATGGACAAAGCCCTAGGCTGGATTCCATCACTGCATAAACTGCCTGTGTGGTAGTGCATGCTGGTGTCTTCGCACCTCAGTGGAGAGGCAGGAGGTCCAGAACACTGAGGTCAGCCTGGGGAGATGGTTCAGTAGGTAAGAGCTGGATAGAGGAGATAACCTGAGTTTAAATCCACAGAACTCACTTTTAAAAGCTGGGCTTGGTCATGTACTCCTGTTACCATAGCACTGTTGTGGGTGGAGGCAGGATCGCTGGACTGATTGCCAGTGTAGCTCCCAATTCCAGTGAGAGACCCCGTCTCAAAGGAGTGATGTAGAATGTGATAGAGCAGGGTACTGATGCTCTACTCTGGTCTCCACTTGCACACAGTGTGTGCACATACACCATACCTACACACCCACACCCACACACACACACACACACACACACACACACACACACACACACAAGTAAAAAGAAGTTCAAGGTCATCTTTCGCTAAAATTGTATGGCCTCTTGGGAAACATGGGGAGGTGGCTGCCCTAGATGGAACTGGAGGCCAGCCTGAGCTTTAAACCTTGGCAATATAATAATAATAATAATAATAATAATAATACTGCTAAAGTAACTAACAAATCCCCCAGTACCTTAATATTTGTTAGACTCTTCACAGGTTTTGGGCACTTATTTTTGATGGCTAGCCCTAAGGGAATATAATTTTTTTTTGATTGTACACAGGATTAAACTAGACTTTGCAGAGGTTTAGAAAGTGAGTCAAATAGCAGATGTCTCCTGAAATAAGAAACAACCTCCAGGACCTCAGTCCAGTGCTAATCCCTTTGCCCTGCTTGAAAGCAACCGGGTTTTGCTGCACTGGCCAAGTTAAAGGTGCAGTGCCAGAGGAAAGATGACCTCCAGGGTTGCCACCTACCCATGTTTTTCAAGGGACCATCTGATTTTAGCATGAGAATCCCCTGCTTTGGGAACCTCTCAGTCTCACTCTCGGGATAACTGGATGTTGGCCACTCAGTTGACACCATTCCACTTAGAATAGAAATAACTGGGCAGGAAGGTGGAAAAACAAGCGTGTGGTGTGCCTTCTCTGAGCCAGACACTGGTCTTTGTTCTTTTTATCTAGAGCAAAATCATCCTCAGCTCTGCCACATACATGGCAAATAAGCAGCTGGGTCGCTTTGGTAAAGTTTCTTCTTCTCTTTCTGTCTCAGTGACATAGTTTATTCAGCCTGCAATAATGAAGTACCACAGTAATAACAATGGAAACTTTCAGCAGTCTAGGGACCAGAGGTCTGAGATCAAGGAGTGGGTGTGGTTGGTCTTTGGTGATGATCCTGTCTGGCTACATCTACATCTGAGGAGAGGAAAGCCTTTAGAGGTGTGTTTTATAGAAATGCTAATCCCATTCACACGGGCTGGCTCTACCATGATGACCTAAATACTTTACCCTCTAACTTCCCCTCCTAACATCATCATGATGGAGACTAAGATTTGCGAGTGTGTATTTTGAAGGTACAAGAGTATTTAGTTCATCGTCTGTAAAATGGCAGCAACAGGAATTCCCAAGTTGTTATGAAGATTAAATGAATTCTTTGTAAATTATTTAGAATAGTACCAGTGCCACATAGTGCTGGCATGAGAATGTGTATAGTTTGCTAAGATTCTCACTAAGAGGAAAACAAAATTAAAGAAGTCCATGGTAAGTTGTGTTCTTCATCTGCGGTTAACAAAGCTGAAGAGAGTCTGACGGGACAGGACCCAGACATGCAGTGTGGGATGTGTTCTGAGTGCACACTGATGTCTCTAAGCTCTGGACGTCTTTTTGTGTCCCCAGGCCTACGTGAACCTCCTCTTCTGGTACCAGTTCTTCTGTGGGTTTTCAGGAACATCTATGACTGACTATTGGGTTCTGATCTTCTTCAACCTCCTCTTCACATCTGTGCCCCCCCATCATTTATGGCGTGCTGGAGAAAGACGTATCCGCGGAGACCCTCCTGCAGCTGCCTGAACTTTACCAGAGTGGTCAGCACTCAGAGGTAAGTGTCCAACAGAAACATGCCAGCAGATGCATAGCACGGTGACAGGACAGCCAGCGTGTTTCCAGTCAGCCAGGCCCACATATTATAGGGTAGTCAGAACAACTGAGCATTGCCCAGTTGCTTTCAATGCCCTATGCCAGTGGTTCTCAACCTTCCTAATGCCGGGACCGTTTTATACAGTTCCTCATGTTGTGGTGACCCCCCAACCATACAATTATTTCATTGCTACTTCATTACTGTAATTTTGCTACTGTTGTGATTTGCACTGTAAGTATCTGATGATATGCAACTCCCCAAAGGGGTCACAACCCACAACCCACTACTCTATATTCCCATGACAGATGTTAAGTCAGTGGTCTGTGGTATCAGCATAAATCTTTAAAAGTTTTTATGGACTTATCAGAAGAAATTCAGAATTTGCTACCTTGCTAATGGCTGCTGACATTTGTTAAACTGTTAAACCCCGCTGCACAACCTGTTATGGTACCCAGCAAATGTTCCCTGCCTCATTTATCTTACTCTTTTTGAGACAGAATATAGTGTTTATCCCATTCCAAAATGAGGAATCTGAACCTCAGATGTATTAAGTAATTTCCCCCAAACTTGCAGAGCTAAATGACAGGACCAGGATATGAAATTGGCTCAGTCTGTTTCCCAAGCCCAAGTTAATTCTCCAGTGTCTAGAGTCACACGGGACAGAAGTGATCTCAATGGCTCTCATCTCCACTCCACTTATCTGTGGGGGCCTGGCTCAACACTGGCTTATTTCAAGTCCTATGTTCCAGTGACATTTTGGGTGCTCCTTTGTCTCAGAAATACTTGCTTTTGCTGTGGACCATGCTGCTGATGGGATTTTGTGAACACTTGGGTGATGAAAGGCCCCGAATATCCCCATCATTTCCAGTAAAGGACTAGTAAAAGAAGATTCAGGGAAACAACAAATCTTTGTTTTTGGATTTTACAGAAGATAAAGACAGGGAAAGAGAACTATATTATATAAATCCTCAAAGTGTAGTTCTTTGAAAGATAAGAGAAGGTATATGTGTCATGTGTATATTTATAAAGCTTTATTCTTTAGTGGATGATAATATTTCCCAAGGACATTTCTGTCTGTTTACATTTGGGATAGAAAGACTAAGAAGGGCATGCTAAAAAATGACAATATCAGGAATATGATATTTGTACTTCCTTTCTTCCTGTGCACACCTGCCAAAGAAGCAATAGTCTTCCCTTCTATTGGGTCTCAGCGCATCTGCACTCATGTCACCACCATCCAATCAGGGCTGATGCTGGAGTGAGAACCCATTTTTAGTTGTTTGGCTACTGTTGCTCCTGGTCTTTCTCTTTCAGCAAGCTTTGGTGTTAATAAACAATAGCTAGCCTAGTAAATAGTTCTTGAGTACCTGCTTTGTGCGAAGTATTGTTTCAGTCATTTGAATACAAAATCCAGAGTTCCACTCTGAACCTTGCAATTTGAGGACAAAAATATGCTTAGCAGTTTTTTTTTCTGATAGGAGAGACTGTCTGTGATGCCATGCTAGTAAATGATAGGGTGGAGATATCTTTAGGTTAGTCTGATATGCCTCTGTGAGCAGAGGATATTGGGGATTTAGAAAATTAGAACAAGTCATGTGGGAGGCCAAAGAAAGACCTCCCAGCAGGGAAGATAGACTGGAGGAAATGAGACATAGCTGTTTCCATGCTGTGGAATGATAGTGAAAACATTATCAATCGAAATGGACCTGATATGTCACAGAATGGAACTTCAGTTATATTGGAAATTCAGTGGGAATCATTGGAGTGACTAAAATGAGGCAATTTGATCAATTAGGAAGATGTCATGAACTAACATTTTCAGAAAAACCTAGTGGCTGGTACTGTGTAGTGGATATACATACATACACATATGTATATATAATATAATATATGTATACATGAATAGGTATACACACATAATACATATATATGTATATAATTTTATTATTCTTTGAAAACTCTGTACACTTATACAGTGTATCTTTATTACACCCCACCTCATCATTACCTCACTTCAGTTTCTCCTAGTGTTCCCACTTGGCTTCCCACTAACTTCATGTTTTCCATTTTTCTGTTCTTACTAGTAATCCCAAACCAATTAGTACTGTCCCAATGCGAGTGGGTGTGATGCAATCTATTAGTTGCTTTGTCCTCAAAGTAGAGCCCTCTACTGTCAATAGCTCCTCTACCAGGACTGGAGCCTCAAGGACCCCTTCTTTCTCTGGTGTGGTTCTTCTGTGGGCTTGATATTGTGGATGTAATTTCAGTTGCTGTGAGGTGATGCATCCAACAGCCATGTTGGCATTTCCCAGCCCTCCTCATTCTCTTACAGTCTTTCTGCCCATTCTTCTTAGATGTCCCCTAAGCCATTGATGGGATAGATAATTCATCCACAGCTGAGAATTCAGGGTTAACTTATACTTGGCAATCAGAACAGTTAAGATTTTCTGCATTAGCTCTTAACACTGCCTCAGACCAAACTCAAGAGCAGCACACACTTGTAGGTATAAACATAGATGTTTAGAATACAGTTTGACAGCATGAATACTCAACATAACAACAGTAGGCTCCCAGGTTACCATCTCCCAGGTTTACAGCGCCAAACCTGAAACACCTCCTCTGGATCACACAGATATTCAATCAAAAAGTGATTGGTTACCCCTCAAACTGTTCGTGCCACTATTGTCTCGGTGAATACTTCATTGTAGATTGGTATTATAGCATGCACTTTCCCATGCTGGCTACGATCCTTGATTTCCTTTCTCCCAGAAAAGCCTGCATTACATCTTCTGGCACTGTGTAAGACAGCCAGTAAAGAGAGGGCTTCCTGTTCAGTTGGGGTTGGTGTATCTATGCCTTGTATCCAGAGTGAGTGGTATCTTCAGCAATAGGGTCTGTCTAATGACGGTGACAACTGAGGGCAATGGAAGTAGCCTGTGCTGTTTTGGTGCACTTGGAGCTTCTGTGACTAAGAACTCACAGGACAGTATCCTGTGCCTAGCACTGAGTTTTCAGTTAGTAAACTATGCCTTCTGGGAGTAGCATTGTCTGCCCATGTAGGAAACTTTGGTTCAATTTCCTTTTAACTATGTTTTAAATTAGCTTACAAACTAGTGGATTTTTTTAAGACTCTTCATACATCTCCAGTCTTGGTGAGACCACCCCCTACCCGCCATGCTCTGGTGTCCCCTCTCCCACCCTTTAACCCAGAGCATGCCCTGTTGTTTCATGTCACCTGTGTACACTGTCTTTCTGATTGGATTTTTTACTTGGGTTACAAGATCATAGGTTTCCCTATAGCATTTTCATGCATCCTTCATTTTGGTTAACCCTTCTACCCCCCACCCCATATTTGAATCTTTCCACTCCCAGTAATTTTTAGTTTGCCATCTTCCCTCCTTTAATGTGTCCACTACCCAATGTCCCCTTTCTCATTACCTAACTTCCACATGCATTCCAAGTTAATCAAACAAAGAAAGAATCAACACTGGAAACCACATGAGGGAGAACGTGTGACATTTGTCTTTCTGAGCCCGGGTGACCTCACTGAGTATAATTTTTTGAAGTTCCATCCATTTACCTACAAAATTCTGATTCCGTTTCTCTTTATGACTGAGCAGTATTCACTGTGGACATGTATCATATTTTCATTATCCGCTCATCAGTTGATGAACATCTAGGTTAGTTCTATTTTCTAGCTTCTGTGAATTCAACAGCAGTGAACAAGGACTTGCAAGTATTTCTGAGGTACCAAGTAAAGTCTTTTGAGGTTTTCCAGGGAGTTCTAGAGCTGGGTCATACACTTGTTCTATTTCTAGTTTTTTGAGAAACCTCCAGATTGATTTTCAAAGTGGCTGCACTAATTTACAACCCTCAACAGTGTACAAAGGTGCCCTCTCCACCATCTGTTGTCATTTGTATTCCTGATCATGGCCATTCTGACTAATGTGAAAGTAGAATGATGAACTGGCTTTGATTCAAACTTCCCTGGTGATTTCAGTTCTGCTAGTTTTATGCTGTTTTATTTACTTGTTTGTTTTACTTTCCTCGTTATTTTAATCAAATACCTGACAGAGCAATTTAAATGTGGAGGGATATATATGTGTGTGTGTGTGTGTCTGTGTGTGTGTGGGGGTGTGTGTAGGTGTGTGTGTGTGTATTTGTGGCTGGTCATGTTATAAGGGACAGGAAGGAGAGAGAAATGGGGGGTGGGGTACAGATGTACAGAGAGAGTTAAATACTCAGCACCTGGGCAGGAAAAAGAAGAGCTGAGTTGACCTACTTCTGCCAGCCAGGACTCACACTTAGATTCTAAAACTTCTTAACAGATGGGCTAGCGGCTGGGACCAAGTTTGAATGCATAAGATGATTGGAGGAGACTTTATATTCACATTATAATATGCAGAAAGATTGGGTTGAGGGTTACAAAGGAAAGCATAGAAGGCAGTTGAGATGGCTATCCAGCCATTCGTAGGCCTACCTGATGGTAATGGTGGAGGTGTAGGAATAGTGTAAGCAAAGATAAGTGATAGATATGGATAGGTTTTTGAATAGTACTTTCTGATGGATGGATATTACTACAACTAGCTAGCCCTGTTTCAGGTATTTACCAGATCCGAGAGGACTTGGGATGTAGCTCAGTGGCAGAGTACATGTTTAACATGTGTGCCCCATAGTTCAATTAATTCCAAACAGAAGCAGCACACACACACACACACACACACACACACACACACACAATGTGCACACACCGATGCACACAAACACAGTACATGTGTGTAAGCACACAAATGCACATAGTCGCACACTCATGATTGTGCACTAATTTGCACAAACACACATGCATGTGTACATACATGTTGATCCATGATAAAGTAGATTTTATTTTTTAAATTAAAATATAATTACATTATTTTCTCCTTCCTGTTCCTCCTTCCAACTTGTCCCATTCCCACCCCTTCTCCTCTCAAAATCATGGTATCTTTTTTTTAGTGGCTATGGTTACATATGTACATAAATATGTGTATATATGCACAGGCATATATGCACTTCTATATCCTATCCAAGTCAAAATGGCTAAGAGCAACAAAACAGCTGACAACAAATGCTAGAGAGGTTTCAAGGAGAAAGGGAACCATCGGCCACTGTTTATGGGATTGCAAACTGTTCCAGCCACTCTGGAAATCCATGTGGAAAACTCTCAAAAAGCTCAAATGAAATTAGAATTTTTAAAAAAATGGATCAAGTAAGTTGAGAAAAAGTTCCTTTGGTTTGTTACTTTTCCTTCCACATTCAACAGTGAACTTGTCTTAGCTCACACGGCGTAGTATTTTATGAAGTAGAGAACGAAGGACCAGAGGGTTGCTATGTTGCCCTGACCCTTGCTAATTTTACTTCCTCTCCAACATGTGTTTCATTTCCAGGCATACTCACCTCTCACCTTCTGGATCACCTTGTTGGATGCCTTTTATCAAAGTCTGGTCTGCTTTTTTGTGCCTTACTTTGTAAGTCTTTGTTTGCTCATGTACTTCCCTTGAATGAATTAGTGGTCCTACTGTGTACTGTGCTTCCCACCGACTGTTACTTGATTGGTGTATAAACCCTCACAATATGTTAGGTAATGGATTCAATTAAGTGCCTAGTTGATTGCTCTTGGGTGTCTTATTAACGCTAATCTGTCTACTAAGTTTTGTCAGTGGCTTAAATAAAATTTAAATTCTGGCTATGTAAATAAATTAGCCAAAACCCACTGAGCAGTATCAGAAATAGAAGAGCTTTTTTTTATTAGTAGTAGTAAGTACTGGGCTAATTCTATCAGGCTAAGACTTGGAATATTAAATTTAAGCACTTGTAAGAAATATCTTCAGAACTTAATAAGAACCACATTTAACAGACAAGCAGAAACTAAGCAAAGTATGTGTAAAAGTTCATTTTAAAAGTCTAGACTGGCACCAAGCACAGCAGAACCAGTGCAGCTGTCTGCACCTTGATCATTCCAGAAAGAAACACGTGTGTGATCTCAGAGTGCGTTGACAGAGTACAGCACAGAGTAAAAATGGTGGTACTCACTAGGCTGACAGTTTCTACGCTGTGCTCAAACAAAATCACTTAAATTAGCTCCTTTGAATACTTTTACTATATTGCTCTGCAAGAGGAAGTTGGACAAAGCAGTTGGAAGTGGCTTCCAGAAAAGGGCATACTGAGAGAAGTGCATCGTTTGAGAGCTGGCATAAGGACTTCAAGATGCCTAGGTGAGAGGAAGGGCATGTTTACCTCGACTCATCAGCTGAGGGTAGTTACAACTAAGTGGAACATATTCAATGTGCTTGTGTGCCGTTAGGAGCTGGAAACTATGAACAAAAGCTTCCAGAAAGATCACTCATGATTCAGAATGAAGAGGGATTCACCTGAAAGTTCAAAACACAGATAGAGAAGCCTATCCGGGAAAGCCAGTCTCTTTTCTCATGGTGTTCCTTTTCTTCCTAAGTGACAGGTTAGTTAGTTGAGCTATCGTAGAGAACACTCAAGCCACATTTGAGCTATAGATAAAATGGTGTTAGACCACAAGTGTGTGCAGTTCCTCACACGCGCTGCCTGTTGCCTTCTTGTAGACCTACCAAGACTCTGACATCGACATCTTTACATTTGGGAATCCCCTGAACACAGCAGCTCTGTTCATCATTCTCCTCCACCTGGTGATAGAAAGCAAGAGTCTGGTGAGTGTCCTCCTTCTGCCTGGGGGTATGTCTTCTGTCAGCAGAGCTGCCGAGCCCTCTGTGGCTGTAAGCTCAGTGCTGGTATGAGGAACAGTCCTGCGGACAAAGGGTCATTTGGGACATTTTTTTTCTGTCACTGGTAGGTTCTTCTCAGAGGTGTGAGTCAGGGGACAGGGAAACACCAGCTATGCTCAGTAGGCTGTTAGACCAAGCTGATGGCTTTGCACTAAAATAAACGATATTCTGTTCCATTCCCTCTCTGTTAACTTTAGTAAATAAGGACTTTATGCTCTTTGACAATCCAAAGTATTTTTCATTTCTTTGAGCAAAATTCTTTTATTTTTTTTATTATGCTTGAGGCCCTCAATAAAGCTTATAAGATGTCATGCAGTGGGACTCTTAACCTGTGCCAGCCTCATTTTCTTACCCAAGAGCATGCTCCACATTCTCCATCTTCCAACTTCTCACATGCATTGAGCTCTTTGTCACATTGGAACCTCAGTACTTGCTGTTATCTATTATGTGGGGATACTTTCAGATTTCTCTTGTATTCTTGAAGTTTTACCAACTTCAAAATGCTACTTTAAATCATTGCATACCTTAGCAGGCACTCCTTCCCTCTAGAACCTTTCCTGAATCCTGAATCGTCTACTATCTCATTTTATTCTCTGCTTTTGTTCATAAGCTTAAAGAGAATTTATAGTTACTCATTTAATTATGGAATTATCTGGTTCAGGTTTACTTTCTGCATCAAACTATGATTTGTGTGAGGTCAGGGTTCATGCTTATTTTGTTCACCATGTAAGCCACTGTGGGAGATAAGACTGACTCAGAGTAAGTGGTCAAAAAACCCACGAGTGACCTGACCACTTAAGGAGTTTATTTATCATCTGGGAAAATAAATGGATTTCAAACAGGAACTCACTGAATGAAACTGTGATTTAAAAGATACAGTGCTACATTATCGAATTATTTTAACAAGCTATAAAGTAGGATCAAATGTCTATTTTTTGTCATCATTTGCTTTGCCTATGCAAAATGATCTGTAACTAAATCTTCTAAGCCCCAAGTGTGATAACATGTTAATATATGCAAATACCAGATTGGCTAAAAGAAATTCAAAAACTATTGTTTGGTCTCCTTTGAACTCTTTTAAACAATTATTAGTGATACTTTTGGTTCTGCCAAAAGCCTTGCCACAGACTCTGACCTTTGTGTGTTCCAGAGGAACTGACACTTTGTGTATACCAGTTGGGGTTCACTGACTAAAAGAAACAATAGTCCATTATGGATAACTTAGGCAAGTAGAAATGTTCTGAAAATTATATTGAGGAACCATGGGCCAAAAACCAAAATTCCCAAGGAGTCAGCAGAGGGCCAGGGAGTGGAAACCAATGGATGTGCTTGGCAGGATACACACTGGTCTGAACCAACTGCATGCATTGTTTTCTGTTCTTGCCTCCCTGTGCTGCAGTCCTAGATGCCGGTGATGGAATCCTGTCTCCCTGGCTTCAGCCACAGGCTTTAGCAAGAGAGGAGTATGTTGCCAGCACTATACTCAGTGTTGAGTGTTGTCTCCAAGAAAGAGAATGAAGCTGAAAATGCAGTAGTGTCGCCATAGAAGTGCAGTATCCCTCCTACCGGAGGATGTGCGACCAGAGCTCATGGACATCACAGTCTCTTTTGGGGAAAAGTCAGCCAGTTGGAGTTCCTGGAACACATGTCCTTCACACTCTGGCTCACTGTGTTGTGGTCACCTCCCACTTCTGGGCAACTCATTCATAACTGTGAGCTGTAATGTCACCATCTCACTTGCAAAAGCACATAACCAGAGAGAGAGAAAACTAGACCTAGTTCTAGGGAGGGAGGGAGGGATAAGTGGGGGGGGGGGATGGACCCATTGTTCTGGGGCATGACATTTTAAATCAAGGAGTTAGCCAACATTTTCTGAGCAGCTTCTATATTTTATAAAATATGAGCAATCTTTGTGACTTCTGGAAGATATCTACTGTGGGGAAATACTTTGCATAATTAGAAACAAAGTAAGAGTCAATTGGACTGTATTTGAAAATTACAGTCCTAGAAACGAGATTTATGAAGGCAGTGTTTCCTATAGAAGGAAATCCCAGGCCCATGACACCAGTAGTATGTACACCGTTGGGCGTGATGCATGCTACACCCAGTAACATGGAAGAAGGCATAGGCGCTCTTACAAGCTTTTCCCTTAGAGTTCCAAACATCCCTTTCCCATTCGCTGAAATGTGTTTCATTGAAAGGGAGTAGAGAGCTACCACCTGAATGCTGAGCAAGCGAGAATAAGAGTATGGGCGAGCAAATGTAGTGCTTGCTGTATATGTGAATGGCTGACGTTTGAAGATTACTGAATTAAAGTAATCCCATAATCAAATCAATGAGTGACTGTATAAAAAAGGAAAAAGGAAATCCAAACAAATTAAACTAATTAAATCAACAGAATCGCCATTGACTTTTGGTTTGATTTTGTAGAATTCATTTGGTGGTAGAATTCATGAATGATGCTCTTCCTTTATGCACTTGATAGCTTGTGTCTTACATGGTAAGGTATGTAGAATGAGGCACTCAGAGCTTGTTGTACTATGTCTTTAATGGAGCAGGTTTTGCCAGGTTGCAATACACCACCAGTAAAACTTCCTTTCCTGGCCCTTCTTGCCTTGTAGACTTGGATCCACATGCTGGTCATGGTTGGGAGCATCTTGTCCTACTTTTTCTTTGCCTTGGCTTTTGGAGCTTTGTGTGTAACTTGCAACCCACCATCCAACCCCTACTGGATTATGCAGAAGCACATGCTGGACCCAGTGTTCTACTTAGTATGTGTTCTTACAACCTGCATAGCTCTTCTGCCCAGGTATGTAATATGTTTTCTCCCCAAGAGAACAAGTACATGGAATCATAGGCTTCAAGTAACTACTAAGAATGAATGGTGGACCACCTTGTTCAGTAGGGAGGAAGCCTGCATTCTAGCTAAAATATTGGTTTCAATTGTGCCATAGACTAGAACTAGATTAATCAAGTGAAAACTATATTTACCTGTCATGAAAAAGTCCAATTTGATTGACAGTTCATAGGAAGAAAGAAACTTTGCCTTATGGGATTATCCAAGGACCTACCATCCCCTATCATTCACTCTGCCATCTCCTAGCCCTTGCTTCAGTCTGTGCTTACATGTACCATAGAATACCCAAACTAGGTACCTTACAAACAGAAATGCACTCGTAGCTCAGGCCGTTGGGAAGTCCCACATCAAGGTCCTGGCAGTCTTGGCGATTCTCAATTGGGAATGAAACCTTAATGCTTCACCCACATATGGCAAAGGTGATAGAGCCAAGCCCTCATAGCCTTGTTAGAGTGCACATCAACTATCCCATGCCTGAAGATGCTTCCTGTGGGCGAGGCTTATGGATCTGCTGACAGCAGCCATATTCATATGTAGAGGAATCTTCCATGCTTTGAATGCTTTCCCTACAAAACTCATTGTCTTTGTAACAACAGAAGAGGGAGACCTTTCTGCTTATTTGGCAAGCAGAGAGAGTATTTATTGTTTGCCGAGTGCTTTACAATTATTAATTTGTTAAATATTTTAATTATTGAGTTTAAAATCATGGCCTTGTATAGTAGCCCAAGCTGACTTGGAACCCACAAGATTAACCTGGCTTTGAATTCATGGCTATCCCTCTAATTTAACCTTCCAAGCATTTGATTTATAGAGGCTTACCCCCAGGCCAGATTTGATATTTTTTTTAAGATTTATTTACTTATTATGTATAGTGTTCTGCATGCATGTATCCCTGCATGCCAGAAGAGGGCACCAGATCTCATTACAGATGGTTGTGAGCCACCATGTGGTTGCTGGGAATAGAACTCAGAACTCTGGAAGAGCTGCCATTGCTCTCAACCTCTGAGCCATCTCTCCAGCCCCAGGTTTAATATTATTTTAATCTTCATTTTATACCTTACTTACCTTCCTCTCTCAGAAGCCAAGTGCCTATCAGGCTCTTAATTTTTTTTTTTAACTGGTTAATATTTCAGTGGGTCTCATGATGGAATGGAAGTGAAGGTAATTCTGTGATGTTCTTTGTAACCTAGGTTTCTATACCGAGTTCTTCAGGGATCTGTGTTCCCATCTCCAGTTCTGAGAGCCATGTACTTGGACAGACTAGCTCCAGAGGAGAGGGCAGAAGCTCTCAAGAAGTGGAGAGGGACTACAAAGATGACTCAAGTTGTATCTAAGTGTGCCAGCCAACCAGCTGCTGTTTCAGGAACACCCAGGGCTGGCCCTTCCACTGCCCTTCCAATGGGAAGTCAGCAACAGCCTGTGCTGTTGAGCAAGAAGACATACCTACATGTGAGACTATGCTAGATGCTGGCTACTCTGAAACAAGCATCTCAAAGGTGACTGAGCCCTCAGCATGTTAACAACACAGGATACCCTGCTTAGAGTTGCCAGTGATCTTTCACACTTGGAAGGATTCAGAGGAAATGTCTCTCAACAGTGAGGATCACTTGTGTTTTTTACAAGGGATATCAGCATTTTGCTGGGCCTGGAAAACCCAATACCATATCTGCAGTTGTATACCTGTGTGCACATTTGTAAGCAAGGGCTAGTGTTTGACCTCAGCAGAGTGAGTGCTAGGAAGGGGAATATTTAATTCAGGATCATATGTTATTTTAATTGTCTTATAAATGCAAGCCTTCTCCAAGGAATTCATTTGAAATATACTTATTTTATAGGTAAGTCTCATGCATTTGGAGAATGCTTTAAGTGAGATCCAACACAAACTTTAATTTAGGGGGGAAAAAAGTTCTTTTAAACTGGTTCATTATAGCTAGATGGTAGCAGACACCTTTGATGCCAGCACTTGGAAGGCAGAGGCAGGCTGATCTCTGAGTTCAAGGCCAGCCTGGGTTACAAAGCTTGTTCTTCCAGGATAGCCAAATTTACTTAGAAAAACCCTGTCTCAAAAAACCAAAACCAACCAACCAAACAACTAAACAAAAGCCCTGCTTTATTAGGAAAACTCATTAATTAGAGACAAATTCCCAAGAGCCTTTTGTTTTCCCTGAGAAGCCTTTGGTTCCTGGCTGAAGGTGTTCAGCAGCTCCCTCTGCTCAGTTCAGCATGGTGCGGAAGTACAGCCTTTGTAGGGAAGGGAAAGAGGAGGGCTAGGGTTCCCAACAGCGCCAGGCCACCTTCTGCTTTGTCCACTGCTAAGAGAAGACGCAAGCTCCCCCATGTGCAGGTGTTGTCAATCAGGAAACAGACAAATAGGCTATGAAATACAGTCAGCTGAGCCTACAGACTGTGAGCAACTTCTCGAGTTCCAAAACTGACGATCTCCACACCAACATGAGACAATCATCTTCAAAACAAGTCTCCCAGAGACCCTCTGAGTGTTCATAGTTCTAACAGTGCTCAACAACTTGTCTGCCTTGTAGCCTCTACAGAATGAGATATGGACTGATACTGATTAGGTTATGCTCAATGGGACTCCCGGGGGTCTTAGAAGAAAACATATTTAAAGGTAGAAATGTCTGCAGCAAGTTTTCTGCTGTGACAAATCATGGATGCTGGCTTTATTTAGTGCTTAGTTTACACCAGGTGAGTCAATTTGCCACTGTGAGGTCATGTGCTCTTGGTGACATCTTTCAAAACTGTATTCATCTGAAAGCTGTCATGTGGAATTTCCTTCATGAATCTCTATGCTCAAAGTCAATGTCTACAGCAAAGTTATTCTCAGGGCTTACCCGTTGTCTGCTTGTATTGTCCTAGTCAATTTCTGCACCTTCTTGTTATTGTTTAGTGGTCTTTTTTAATATAGCCTGATTTTTGGAACTATGACACTATCATGTGGCTAAAGGAAGTTGCCTTCTACTTCCCTAAGATTTTTTAAAATAAATTATTTAATAAATAATGTTCATTGAAAGCTGTTCTCACTCCTGTAACTCTACCCTAAATCCAGCTCTAATTGGTGCCAGAGCTGGGAAGGAAAACCTTAAGGCATGCCTTTGCCAGAATGCTTTTTGGATCTCCTTTTCTGTGTGTGTATGGGGGGGGGGGTCACTTTATCAGATCATTAATCATCCCCATAGCAACTGGAATTCATTCCTCATTCCTCAAGATCACCATTTCCCAAATAAACATTAAAGAAATGCTCATATGCAGATAAAAGGTTTTAATCTAAAGATTAAAGGAATATGCCAAAGAGAGTATGAAGAAGGTCATTTTCAAGATGTGAATTATCTGGCCAAAAGAAAAAAAAGAATATAGGATTTAAGTCATGTGACTATAATGTTACATCTGTAACTAGAAAATCCTCCCATCTTTGTTCATAAATTAGGTGCAAACTCAATGTGTTGGAAAATCTGAAGCTACTTATACACTTGATGCAATCATTTGTGTATCTTGCTACAAAAGTATTGCTGCATTTAATTACTTGGTGATTAACTTTTTTTTTAATTTAGAAACTTCTGAAAAACACCAGACTCCTAGGCTGAGGAGAGTCAGATCTTTGTAAAGCTTTTAAAATGTTGAATTTACAAATGAATAATTGTTTTATGCAAAATTAGCACAGTTATTGGGTTGTTGTATTTTCATATTTAGAATATTCCACAAAATTTTGAGGAATCCAAGAAAACTAGTAATAAATAGTCTGGGATATAATTTTTATTATAAAAAGTTTCTAAAGAGTAGGAACATTTGCAAAAATACACTGTGAACATTGAAGACTGGTATTCTCTTAGCAGAATTGGTGTTCTTTGGATACTCTAGGAATGATTAATACTATTAGCAACTCATAAGATTAAAGATGAAGCTGTTACTAGTATAAAAGAGCAGGTTCCTGTGAGAGTGAGTTATACAACACATAAATTTGGCTGACAAGAAACTGGGTGCCACTGTGCTATCAGAGAGATAACCACTTTCCTGGAACTTGTCTATATTCCATCCATATTCTGCAAGGAAAACAATATTACCATTTTATTTGTATGCAGAATTATTTAAAATAACTCCAACGTACATTTTACTAAATATATGTAAGTCTATCAAGGCTAAAAAATTCTTTATTAATTATGTGCCAACAATTGTAACAAAATTGTCCAATGGTCTTAAACCTTCATACACTTCTGAACACAGTACACACTCTTGTAACAAGTTTCAGGACAAGAGATGAATAACATGGAAAATAAGGGTTGAAACAACTTTTTGGATGTGAACTCTATTGACACATAGAAAAAGAGTACAAAGTACACATATAAAATTGTAGTTAGTCGCTGTTTGGAATGCTGAGGCAGTCTGGTTGCTGGTGAAGTTTAGTAGTTCATCCTACTTGTTCAAAAAGGCATTTGGATGTTACATTAGTTGATGTCTGACTAATTCAATTAGGTATGTATGAAGGTTTGCATTTTGAAGCTTTTTAGTGGAAAAAAATACTTTTAACCACTAATTACTTCAGAAATTGATTTGTGTAAAGGGACCCAGTGCTTTAAATTTTTGTTTTAATTATCAATGAGGCAAAATGACAAAACCAGATGTTAGACATCATTAAGGGGAAATTGCAAAATGTTTTGCTCCATGCACATTTTTCTATTCTTTGAAATAATATTTCTGTGACATTTCTGATTTGAGTGAACACAGGATTTAATTGGGGGTGGGGTACCATTTAATGACCCCCTTCTCTCTCTTTGTCCCCAAAGTGAAGAGGTTCTCATTCATTTCACGTCAGCAAACAAAATATTTCTCTCCAAGAATTGACCTAGTTGTTAAAAATTTCAGTCACCTAACTGACATACATTGAAAATGCCCAGTAATGGGAAAAGTTCTATAGAGATTTTCTATGAAATTACAACCTCAGTTTGAATGCAAAAACGGTAAGATTATATTTCTGAGTGTCAGTTTTGATGGCTAGAGAATTTCACAATGTGTGTGTGTGTGTGTGTTGCAATTTCACTGTCTAGATCAATACTGTGGGTCTTCTCACTTTCATAATTTCTCTGAGTTATATAGAAGAGTCTAGTAAAGTAAGCGTGTATATTATCATGGCTTTTTATGAATTAAAAGCCAGTCTCGAAGGTCAGTTCTGAAATCTGCCCCCAAAGCCACTGTGCTTAAATGAGATAGATCCATCGGTGTGTTTCCATGTTTTTGTTGTGATACTACAAAAAGGATCTTCCTATAACTTGTTACCATAGAGCGCCAAATATTGTCTCTAGGGAGCTGATAATTCCACACTACATTCAAGGTTATCCTAAGGAAAGAACAAAACCTACTTTTCTCTGTGCTTTTGAAAGAATTCATGAAACAAATGAATGATAAAGCTAAAAAAAAATAATAAAAACGGCTGAGTAAAGCAGATGTGATGCAAACAAGAGGTCCTACAGTGCGTGTTGTGCACCCTGTCCATGAAAAGCCCATTCGTGCAGCTCTCAGCAGGACACTCTTCATGGTCAACAGGGCTGTAGGTGTGGGTTTCTGGCTGAGTCTCTGATCATCCTTGGAATTCCTTTTGTAGAAAGGTCTGGATATATATTTGTCTTTGGATCCATTCAACAAAGTAAGACACGTTGCTGTACACTCCAGGCCCCAGAACTTTCGAAAAGCAGACAGAGCCCCAGGAAGTTAAACCAAATAATGTCCACTGTCCTCCAGGTCTCTCACAAACCAGAGGCCCACCACTGTCTCCCTGCAAGAAATAGCAACAGACATTAGTCATGGGGTTTCAGAGATCTAGTGGCAAGGTTATCATCTTAAGGGTACAAAAAGGTCCAAACCAGCTTAAGTGAGGTGGAAAATGTCAGCAAAGTTTTCCATCATAAGCCTGGGAGGGTATCTGCTTCCCACTGAATAAAAAGACCTTTCCAATAAACACAATGGACTCTGAGCTTAAAAGTAGTTTGCAAAGAGACTTTTGTTCTTGTCACAAGACCTGAAGACTTAGTTACTTCCTACATGAAACACAATGCCATACCCCCCCAAAAAAAACCTTAAGGTTAAAAAAAGATGTATCAAAACTAATTATGTCAAAACATTTTATTTTTTAAATTGAAATGATCTTATAAAAGTAGAAAATACTCAAAATGGAAAATAAAACATGCCCTCCTCCATTAATCAGATGTTCAAAATGGTCTACACTGAACCATCACAAATGCCCTTTAATTATGTGGGGCTAATGACAAGCATGGTTTATCTCTGTTTAATTCTAAAATCTGAGGAGCAGCCTGATCATTCCAAAACAACAGAACAGCAGCGCGGAAAACCCACCACCTGCTCCTCCGTTGCCAGCCTCTTTGTGCACTTGCCCGTTTGAACCCCAGGGACAGTTCAGCACAATAGCTAACAAATGGTAAGTTGAAGTGAAATCCTTCCCCACACTGCTGAGAGGCACTCTTTGAAGATAGCTATATCCATACAACCTGCCTGAGGTTGGAGGCAGTGACATTTGACAGCCTGGTAATCAAATGAAGGCCACCAGATCTCAAGTGGTCACATTAGAGACAAGTTCTTTCACACACTACGGGAGCCAATGTATATCCTAATGTCTTCATGGTTATACCTGGCAATGTCCTCTGGTGTCCCCCCCTAATGCTTAAGGCGGTGGATTTAAAGCTATGGTTTTCACTTGCCCCTAATAATTAAGCTTGCCCTAGCCACCAAAATGATCAAAGGAGATGTGCCCACACAACTGTCCTCCACCTGGCAGTGAACAATTTTCACAAATGTTCCTAAGGGATGGCTTGTAATGAGCTATGCAAGCACACCAAAGTCATGGGGGATTCTGATTGCTGCCACAGTCCGAAGGCACCTTACCATGCATGAGTCCACGGTGCCAGACTCGAAGCCAGCACATATCACCCGATTGGTGATGGTCTTCATGTCAAAATAAGACTGGCACTGCGCCAGAGAAATAATGCGGACTTCTCCCTCCTGCAACTTAAAGGGCACTGCATTTGAAAAGAAGAAGAAACAAAAATGCACAAGGGCATGAAAGTGACTCAAAATACAAATTGAACAGTATTACAGGAATATGTTCATATCCCTAGAGAACCCTTCCTTTCCCCTTAAATATCATCTCTAAACCTGCTGAGTGTTGGTGGTGCACACCTTTAATCCCAGAACAGCCAGAGATACACAGAGAAACCTTGTCAAAAAAAAA